CTATCACTTCTTATCTCTGGTTCTAATTCATCCGTTATATTTTCAATTTCCACATTCTCATCTTCATTAATTTCTGCTTCATCTTGTATAACTTTGGTAGTATTTAGCTCTTTTTGTTCATCGTGATTTAAATTTTTTATATTTTGTTTTCCGTTTTCTGGAATAAATATGACATCTCTATGTATTTCTATGTCCCCTCTGTGTGGAAAATAAATTCGGTATCCTTTTGTTGTTTCACCATACCCCACTAAAATTCCGTTTTCACTTTTGGAGTCTAACTTCGTTCTTTTATTTTTATTTACATGCACAGCTACTTTTGTTCCAAATTCTTTGAACATTTGTAAAGTACAGTCCTTTTTAAACCATATTTCATAAGGAGTTTTGTTTTTTACTGTACTACATCCCGCTCGGTTTATAATGAAAACTGAAGTGTTAACAGCTTCTGCCCATAAGTTTTTGTTTAAATTTTTGCTATGCAGTAATGTTCTGGCAGCTTCTACTAATGTACGCATTACTCGCTCGGCCCTTCCATTTTGTTGGGGTGTATATGCACATCATGTTTCATGAATTATACCTCTATCATTCAATACATTTTTAAGTTCATGATTAATGAATTCCAATCCATTATCAGTACGAAGCTTTTTAACTCTATTTCCCGTCTGTGTTTCCACCATATTCAAAAACTTTTTTATATTTGCTGCTGCTTCTGACTTTTTCTTTAGAAAATAAACAAATCTAAAACCGGAAAAATCATCCTTCAACAGCAAAAAATACTTTGCTTCTCCCAACGAAGACACTTCCATTGGACCTTCCAAGTCACCATGTATAAGCTCGCCCACACTATTAGCTCGTGACTCACTATGTGGAAATGTCAGTCTATGTTGTTTTCCTGCTAAACATTCTTGACAGAATGGATTATCTTTATCTTTATACTTTATTTCACTTCTTTTTAACAAGTTTCTCACTTGATTAAAATGTATGTGTGCTAGTTTTCGATGCCAATCAGTTAAACTTTCTACTTGATTGCATTGTGACAAAATACCTTGTGTATATTTGAAGTTCATTTTGTATAGCCTCCCTTTTCTATTAGCAATAGCTCTTATTTTCCCATTTTCATCCAACAATTCACATTGATTTTTGTCTGAATGCATTACAAGGCCTCTATCAAGAACAGTACTCAATGAAAACAAGTTAACATCTAATTCAGGTACGAGCAAAACTTCAAGCAAGTTTGTATCAATCCATTCTTTTTCATTAAATGCTTGCACATTGACCATTCCTATTCCTTCTACATTTAACAAAATTCCATTTCCAACTTTTACTTTTCTCAGCTCTGTAGATTTTCGAATTTCAACAAACTGTTCTTTGCTATAACACATATGTTCTGTAGCACCGCTGTCTAACCACCAATCATCATTCCTTCTAGTTTCTCCAGTTTTTTCTAGGATATTTGTGTAATTTAACAAACTAGACATTCCCACCAATGCCTGTGTTGAATGGGTTTTTGGATTTCTTCCATCCCTTGCTTGATTACCCTGTTCTTCGTTTCTTCTATTTTTGTCTCGATATCTTTGACCATCTTTGTTAAACCAGCAATCTTTTATTAAATGACCTTCCTTTTTACAACAATGACAAACTCTTTTTTCTCTATGTGGACAGTCTTTCTTCCAATGTCCCGTTTTGTTGCATTGAAAACATTTTACTTCCTTCACTCGATCCCCTGATGAGTAGTTTCGCGTTTTCTTTCTTCTTATAGCTAATGCTGCTCCTAAATTTTCTGATTTAGTTCTTTCTTCCTCTACTAAAAGCCTGGACATAAGCTCTGACAACGTCTGTTCATCTTCTGGTGTTGAATCCCAAGCTGAAATGAAATGCTTTAAAGTCTCTGGTAAAGTCATGAGAATTTTTGTAATTGCCATTTTGTCACTTATTTCTTCATTTTGCTGCTTTAACTTTCCCTGTATTTCTTCTATATGTGAAACTAATTCAGCTATGTCACCAACTCCATATTCAAGACTAAAAAATCTTTGTTGTAATAAATTCACACTCACCTGTGATTTATTTTCATAAATTGTAGCCAATTTTTGCCACATTTCTACAGATGTATCACATGCCAACACATGGTTAAGTGGTTTTTCTTCTAGCCCACTAACAATTACTTCTTGTGCCTTTGCATCATTCATTAACCAATCAGTCACCTTTTTCTCTGTATAGATTCTCCCAAAGGCTTCAATATGTCACCTTTTACTATGCCATAAAGGTTTTTAGACTTCAAATGTATCATTGTTTGAAATTTCCAAATAGTCCAGTTCTCTCCATACAGTTTCACGACCAGTGTGTGATTGTCTGACATCTTTCTCGTGGCCTTTCTACTTTCTAATCTTCAATCTTCTATTTTTTGTGCCCCTTTTTTTTTAACGTCTGTCAATTACCTGTATTAACTGACGGACTGTTCTTTTTAACCAGACACTACCAGCAGCAGGTACTATTAACACAATCTGACAACTTGACCAGTTTTCTCTGTCAGTTTTAACCAGACACTACCAACAGCAGGTACTATTGACACAACCTGACAATTTGACAAATTTTCTCTAGGCTGGGTTATGTTTTTATCTATTTTTCCACTCCGGCAGCCTAAAGGAGCATTTACATTCACTTCTAACTTCTAACTTCAAGTTAAATTTGACGTTTGATATTTTATCATTTAAAATCTGTTTTTTTTTTAAGATAATTCCCCAAGTCAAAAATTTAGTAACTATGTTGGCAACTACAAGCCTTTTCTACATAAAAAATTTGAAGCATTGACAATTTTACATTGTATTGCCAACATAATGTCAGTTTGACTTTTATCTTTAAAAAAAAAACAGATTTTACATTGCAGAACAAAAACGTCAAGTCAAAACGTCATAATTTTATGAAAATCATGATGAATAACCTAAAAATTTGACATTTCACAAATTTCTGCTTGTCCACTTCGAAGTGAACTTCAAATTTATTCCAATGTAAATGGATCTGTGATGTCGCCACATGGCAAGCACGTCAATTTCATGACAAATTGGACTTTAAAGTGAATGTAAATGCACCATTATTCTGTAACTTGCGACCGCAGATAATTGCGCAATAGTTGCTGTCAAGTCGCTGCCAAATGCGAGTTTTCCATTAAAAAAAAAGCAACTTGCGACCGGTTGCTGGTTGCTATGTAATTGCTGTTCGTAGAGAATAAGCCTGCCGAAATCCTTTTTCTTCCTTCTTTATCGACCAGGCATGTCTGGGCCCATAACCTGTTGTAATTAAGAACTTCCGGGCTGTTAATAAGGCACACACAACACTACTTTTAACGAAATATATTCTCGGTGAATTAACACGTCTGATAACTTTTTACAATTCTGACTGACTTACTTGACTGACAGTTTTGTCAACTAATAATAATTTTATTGATAGACTGTCAAACCAATAACAATTAAAGTCTGTTTTTTTTTAAAGATAAAAGTCAAAATGACATTATGTTGGCAATACAATGTAAAATTGTCAATGCTTTCAAATTTTTTATGTACAAAAGGCTTGTGTTGCCAACATAGTTACTAAATTTTTGACTTGGGGAATTATCTTTAAATAAAAAACAAACTTTTTCTACAAACGTCACTAAAAGTGTCATTTTTAACGGATGCTGTCAGTGTCTAAAATGCCATTTTATGACACTGGTGCTAAAAGTGATTACTTTTAGCACTAGTGCTAAAAGTAATCACTTTTAGTGCGTTTCTAGAAAAAATAGTGTATGATATTCGTGCTAAAAGTGATTTTATTTTGTTCAAAGGGATGGAACACTCCGCCTTCGGCGTCTTGTCCCAAACTTCCCTTTTCACAAAATAAAATGTCACTTTTAGCACTTATATCATAAATAACTATTATAATAATTAAAATTCCCCAAATAAATCATAGGAAACTTGTTTTTAGTTTAATTTCAATGAAAATGACATTACAAGGTTTCCTTATTGATTATAGTGAGTAAAACAAAGACAATGATAAAGTAGTATACGTTTGCAAAAACCACCGTTTTCTGAAAAAAGTAAAAATCTTAAGAAAACCAACATTCCAAAGCCAATTTGATAAAACTAAAGTTTTTGAATATTCCCGACTCTTTGATCGGACGCTAAAAATCGCATTTTAAATACTCCCGGTTTTTAATTAGCTCTAAATTATCCGCTGACCAATAGAATTATAAACTAGGCCCCGTGATTAAAATAACTCTAGCCCTTCGGGCTCGCGTATAACTCCGGCCCTTCGGGCTCGCATATAACTCCGGCCCTTCGGGCCGGTATTACTGAGTGTCCCAGATTCACAGATATTTGTCGTGGAGACGCGGGATTGATTGAAATAATGTTGTAAGAATTTTCTAAATTACATTGAAATATCGAAAATTGGAAAGTGTAATTTGTTTGTTTGTCAATTGTGGTTGGTGTCTTGCAAGGTTCAGTGCTAGGACCTATTGAATACCTGCTATGTGTCCATAACCTGAAGAATGTTAGTCTTAAGGCTAGATATAATATTGTTAGAGAAAATTAACCTACTCTCTCTTATCTAATCAATTATTATTTGCACAATCTGATCATACAACTACAAATAAAAGAATTAATCTTATCAGTTTATTGATTTCACATGTGCCCTTGTATACATTTCAGGCTCAAAAAGACCGAATCAAAGAGCAGGAACTCGAAAGGGCCGAAAAACAAAGACTGGAAGAAATTTTAAACATGTGCGCCGAATACGAGATGCAATCCCACAAACCGCCAACACCCAACAGGTAATTGGCAGTTAAATTCTTGTTAACAAACAATAACCTCACAAGGATTTCTTAACTAAAATATTACAAATAAATAACATAATTATTTTTTAGAATAATCACAAATGGTTCTTTGCCAAGAGACAAGCGCCTCCAATCTTCCCCATTTGGCTCACCACCTCCTTCACCTCTAGATTTATTGCACAATGAACTTTTAAAGCAAAGCAACCATTACGAAAACGTCAGCTACAACCATTACGAAAACCTGGAACAGGAAACTTACGAAAACGTTTATCCTTCAAGCCCCAGAACTAGAATTAAGACTTTTGTTGGAGGTGGAAATATTAAATCAGTAGAAGAATCAATTGACAGTAAATTTGCTGTTATTGAAACTGAAAGGAAGCTGCTCAAAGAAGCTGAAAGGGTGCTGAGGCAAAACCTGCACAATTCCAAGGAAATAACAGAAGAAAGTTTTAATTTTAGCGATTTAGAACATAGGAAAAGTACTCCTACTAAATTTATTTATCCTATTGAAGGCGAAAAAGACAGGAAATCTATTGAGAGCAAGAAAGATGAAGAAACTACTACCAATGACAGTAATAGCATTAATTCATCAAAAGGTATTTATTTGAGTATCAATGATGTTTTATTAATGTTTTTGTTACATAAGGTTGCTCGAGTCAAACGACAGAAGACAAACAAAGATTGGAGCAGCTTGGGAAAGAGAAAAGAGACATTTTAGCTGTCATTTCGAGGATTAAACGTCAAATGGCCGAGATAGAGATACAAGAAGAAGAATTACATAGAGAGGTAATATAGATTAACTGTATTCTTTTGTTTCTTGGATTTTGTTATTCCAAGCTCTTGACTTCTCATTATTCTCGTATTTGTTTCTTAATTTTTACTTTTCTAATGGTGTTCTTCAAAAAGTGAATTTTGTGTAAGTTTTCGTTTAAAAGAAATCAAAAATTAAGGAGCCTAGCGCCTGGAATAGACAAAAATTGAAATTGATGAAATGAGGGAAATTAAGAAAATGTTTCTCTTTGCATTCCAATTCTTGTCTTGGAAATCAACCTACAAAAACTGAATTAATTGAAAATACAGTCTCACACATTTCAAAGTTTTCCTGGAAAACTAGTAGAGGGAAAAGTTTGAAACTTTTTGCATGTAAAGAGGAAAGTTAGAGGTTCATTTTCCCAAAATTTCGAATTTTTCCAGTGGAAAATAACATTAAGAATCTTGGAAATCAACCTATAATAGCTGAATTAATTAAAAATACAGTCTCACACATTTCAAATCTAGTAGAGGGAAAAATTTGAAACTTTTTGCCTGTAAAGAGGAAGGTTAGTGGCTCATTTGCCCAAAATTTCAAATTTTTCCAGTGGAAAATAACAACATGAAGAATCTTGGAAATCAACCTACAATAACTGAATTGATATCTAAAATACAGTCTCACACATTTAAAAGTTTTCCTGGAAATCTAGTAAAGGAAAAAATTTGAAACTTTTTGTGTGTATAGAGGAAGGTGAGAAGCTCATTTTCCCAAAGTTTCAAATTTTTCCAGTGAAAAACAGCAACCTGAAAAATCTTGGAAATCATCCTACAAAAACTGAATTAGTTGAAAATACAGTCTCACACATTTCAAAGTTTTCCTGGAAAACTAGTAAAGGGAACATTTCGAAACTTTTTGCATGTAAAGAGGAAGGTGAGAAGCTCATTTTCCCAAATTTTCAAATTTTTCTAGTGGGAAATAACAACATGAGGAATATTGGAAATCAACCTACAATAACTGAATTAATTGAAAATACAGTCTCACACATTTCAAAGTTTTCCTGGAAAACTAGTAAAGGGAACATTTCGAAACTTTTTGCATGTAAAGAGGAAGGTGAGAAGCTCATTTTCCCAAATTTTCAAATTTTTCTAGTGGGAAATAACAACATGAGGAATATTGGAAATCAACCTACAATAACTGAATTAATTGAAAATACAGTCTCACACATTTCAAAGTTTTCCTGGAAAACTAGTGAAGGGAAAATTTTGAAACTTTTTGCATGTTAAGAGGAAGGTGAGAAGCTCATTTTCCCGAAATTTTCCAGTGGAAAACAGCAACATGAAAGATCTTGGAAATCAACCTACACAAACTGAATTAGTTGAAAATACAGTCTCCCACATTTCAAAGTTTTCCTGGAGAACTAGTGAAGGGAACATTTTGAAACTTTTTGCATGTAAAGAGGAAGGTGAGAAGCTCATTTTCCCAAAATTTCAAATTTTTCTACTGGAAAATAACAACATGAGGAATATTGGAAATCAACCTAAAATAACTGAATTAATTGCAAATACAGTCTCACATATTTCAGAGTTTTCTTGGAAAACTAGTGAAGGGAAAATTTTGAAACTTCTTGCGTGTAAAGAGGAAGGTGAGAAGCTCATTTTCCCAAATTTTCAAATTTTTCTAGTGGGAAATAACAACATGAGGAATATTGGAAATCAACCTACAATAACTGAATTAATTGAAAATACAGTCTCACACATTTCAAAGTTTTCCTGGAAAACTAGTAAAGGGAACATTTCGAAACTTTTTGCATGTAAAGAGGAAGGTGAGAAGCTCATTTTCCCAAATTTTCAAATTTTTCTAGTGGGAAATAACAACATGAGGAATATTGGAAATCAACCTACAATAACTGAATTAATTGAAAATACAGTCTCACACATTTCAAAGTTTTCCTGGAAAACTAGTGAAGGGAACATTTCGAAACTTTTTGCATGTAAAGAGGAAGCGAGAAGCTCATTTTCCCAGAATTTCAAATTTTTCTAGTGGAAAATAATAACATGAGGAATATTGGAAATCATCCTAAAATAACTGAATTAATTGCAGATACAGTCTCAGATATTTCAGAGTTTTCTTGGAAAACTAGTGAAGGGAAAATTTTGAAACTTTTTGCATGTTAAGAGGAAGGTGAGAAGCTCATTTTCCCGAAATTTTCCAGTGGAAAACTGCAACATGAAAGATCTTGGAAATCAACCTACACAAACTGAATTAGTTGAAAATACAGTCTCCCACATTTCAAAGTTTTCCTGGAGAACTAGTGAAGGGAACATTTTGAAACTTTTTGCATGTAAAGAGGAAGGTGAGAAGCTCATTTTCCCAAAATTTCAAATTTTTCTACTGGAAAATAACAACATGAGGAATATTGGAAATCAACCTAAAATAACTGAATTAATTGCAAATACAGTCTCACATATTTCAGAGTTTTCTTGGAAAACTAGTGAAGGGAAAATTTTGAAACTTCTTGCATGTAAAGAGGAAGGTGAGACGCTCATTTTCCCAAAATTTCAAATTTTTTCAGTGGAAAACAGCAACATGAAAAATCTTAAAAGTCAACCTACAAAAACTGAATTAGTTGAAAATACAGTCTCACATATTTTAAAGTTTTCCTAGAAAACTAGAGAAGGGAAAACTTTGAAACTTTTTGCATGTTAAGAGAAAGGTGAGAAGCTCATTTTCCCAAAATTTTCCAGTGGAAAACAGCAACATGAAAGATCTTGGAAATCAACCTACACAAACTGAATTAGTTGAAAATACAGTCTCCCACATTTCAAAGTTTTCCTGGAGAACTAGTGAAGGGAACATTTTGAAACTTTTTGCATGTAAAGAAGAAGGTGAGAAGCTCATTTTCCCAAAGTTTCAAATTTTTCTAGTGGGAAATAACAACATGAGGAATATTGGAAATCAACCTACAATAACTGAATTAATTGAAAATACAGTCTCACACATTTCAAAGTTTTCCTGAAAAACTAGTGAAGGGAAAATTTTGAAACTTTTTGCATGTAAAGAAGAAGGTGAGAAGCTCATTTTCCCAAAATTTCAAATTTTTCTACTGGAAAATAACAACATGAGGAATATTGGAAATCAACCTAAAATAACTGAATTAATTGCAAATACAGTCTCACACATTTCAAAGTTTTCCTGGAAAACTAGTGAAGGGAACATTTCGAAACTTTTTGCATGTAAAGAAGAAGGTGAGACGCTCATTTTCCCAAAATTTCAAATTTTTTCAGTGGAAAACAGCAACATGAAAAATCTTAAAAATCAACCTACAAAAACTGAATTAGTTGAAAATACAGTCTCACATATTTTAAAGTTTTCCTAGAAAACTAGAGAAGGGAAAATTTTGAAACTTTTTGCATGTTAAGAGGAAGGTGAGAAGCTCATTTTCCCAAAATTTGAAAATTTTCCAGTGGAAAACAGCAGCATGAAAAATCTTAGAAGTCAACCTACAAAAACTGAATTAGTTGAAAATACAGTCTCACATATTTTAAAGTTTTCCTAGAAAACTAGAGAAGGAAAAACTTTGAAACTTTTTGCATATTAAGAGGAAGGTGAGAAGCTCATTTTCCCAAAATTTTCCAGTGGAAAACAGCAACATGAAAGATCTTGGAAATCAACCTACACAAACTGAATTGGTTGAAACTACAGTCTCCCACATTTCAAAGTTTTCCTGGAGAACTAGTGAAGGGAGCATTTTGAAACTTTTTGCATGTAAAGAAGAAGGTGAGAAGCTTATTTTCCCAAAGTTTCAAATTTTTCTAGTGGGAAATAACAACATGAGGAATATTGGAAATCAACCTAAAATAACTGAATTAATTGCAAATACAGTCTCACATATTTCAGAGCTTTCTTGGAAAACTAGTGAAGGGAAAATTTTGAAACTTCTTGCATGTAAAGAGGAAGGTAAGATGCTCATTTTTCCCAAAATTTCAAATTTTTCCAGTAGAAAACAGCAACATGAAAAATCTTAAAAGTCAACCTACAAAAACTGAATTAGTTGAAAATACAGTCTCACATATTTTAAAGTTTTCGTAGAAAACTAGAGAAGGGAAAATTTTGAAACTTTTTGCATGTTAAGAGGAAGGTGAGAAGCTCATTTTCCCAAAATTTTCCAGTGGAAAACAGCAACATGAAAAATCTTGGAAATCAACTTACACAAACTGAATTAGTTGAAAATACAGTCTCCCACATTTCAAAGCTTTCCTGGAAAACTAGTGAAGGGAATATTTTGAAACTTTTTGCATGTAAAGGGGAAGGTGAGAAGCTCATTTTCCCAAAATTTGAAAATTTTCTAGTGGAAAACAGCAACATGAAAAATCTTGGAAATAAATAAATAAATAAAAATGCCTTTATTTCCAGATTTTTTAAATTAAATTTACATACATTCATATATGAGTGGCGATATCCAACCAAGTTGCTTCTATACAACCACCCCATCAACGGAATACATAAATGTATCTTTTTACAAAAAAATAGTCTAACATAAAACAGTATACACTTCAAGGTTATTTCACATATTATGCATTTACGATCTCTTATTGCACATGTGCTTCTTCGACCCCCTCACAAAGGCTGAAACAGTTGCTAGATTTATTAGTTCCTCTGGTAAACTATTGTAAATTTTAGCCGCATTGTAACTAAAAGATTTTTTAAAAGTAGCGGTACGATGCTTAGGAACTACCAATCTATGGTTATGTCTTGTAAGCGTCCCATGAACTTCGCAAGATTTAGTTAGTTTGCTAGACAAGTATGATGGGAGTCCAAACAAGTTTATTTTAAATACTTGACGCAATAAGTGCAATTCGTGTCTTTCACCTAATTTCAACCAATCTGATATCTTATATTTCTCAGAGACATGCTCAAACCTCCTAAGATTGTATGCAAGTCGCAAACAGGAATTCTGCAGCTTTTGCAAGCTATTCTTTTCTGTCTGCAATAATGCAGACCAATATACGGTGTCACAGTAATTTAGACGCGATAAAATTAAAAAGTCACACAACCTGAGTTTAATTGGAGTTGATAGAAAGTTTTTATGTAAATAAAGTAGCCTTAAAAGTCCATAAGAAGTTTTCAAGAGAAATGACACATGCGACCTAAATTTTAGATCATTATCAATGAACAAGCCCAAGTTTTTGACAGTATTGACAGGCATTAAACGGGTATCATTTAATTTAATATTGAAGTTGGGATCTTCTGCCATTTCTTTGGGCTTCCTACCAAATAATATTAATTGTGTTTTTTTTTTTCATTCAGGAGAAGGCTATGATACTTTGAGTAATTAGAGATAGATTGCAGGTCATCATTTATGTGTTGCACCGCTTGAGGTAATTCGCTTTGATCAAATGACTTGCGAAGCTGCGTATCGTCCGCAAATTGATCAGATTGGCAGTTTTCTATAAATTTATGCAAGTCTGATGTGTAAATAGAAAAAAAGATTGGCGCGAGGACACTTCCCTGTGGGACCCCTCTATCAACTACTCGATATTCTGAAAAAACACCATTCAATCCAACTCTTTGCACCCTCGAAGTTAGGAAACTATTAAACAGCCTTAGGGAAGATTCCCCAAAGCCAAAAAATTTAAATTTAAGCAGCAATAGATCCGTACTAATTATAGAATCAAATGCCTTGCTGAAGTCCAATAAGATTAAACAAGTTGATTTACCCATATCCTCAGCTGGGAATATATCATCTGTGACATTCAGCAAGGCAGTCGACGTACTATGGTGAGCTCTGAACCCCGATTGTGTTGGTGGTAGTATTCTTTCATTGCTTAAAAAATCAGACACTTGCTCAGCGATTACCTTTTCTAATATTTTTGACATAACTGGTAAAACACTAATAGGCCGGAAATCAGCAGCGCTAGTGGGATTGCTAATTTTAGGGATGGGTGTCACGTTTGACTGCTTCCGAACTTCTGGAAAAATACCAGTTTCCAAACATTTATTTATGATAAAACACATGTGTTCTCCTAAAAAAGGTATCACATAAAGTAACATTTTCTTAATTATCTCATCAGACCCACATGCATTCGTTTTTATCGAATTCACAATACTAATAATTTTCTGTGAATCAATATTTTTAAAGTTAAATTTTTTAATAAATTCTTTAAAGTGTTTGTTTTCATAGTTGGTGGTTATAAAATTATCCGATAATTCAACGTTAAACCTAGGAATACTATCCAAAAAGTAATTGTTAAAGTCCGTCGGACTAGAGATTTCCCTCAATTTATAATTCTGAGAGGAACTACAAACATTCAGCTGCCTTAACGAATGCCAGAAAGCCCCTGGATCAGTCCTGAAAGAGTGCTGCAAGTAAGCTCTTTTTTCTGCCTTCAGTGAATCATTCACCAAGTTTCTTAGTGTCTTATACTGAGACCAGTTATCTGGAGTTTTGTATTTATTGAATTTTGATCTAGCTTTATCACGTAGTCTCATCATTAACTTGACGTTGTCAGTTAGCCATGGCATGTATGGTTTTGTAACTTTCTTAGTTCGAAATGGCGCGTGAAAATCAAATAAATCCAACATTTTATTGTTAAAAAATAGCACCATATCGTTGACATTTTCCAGACTATATATATGATGCCAATTAACTGTGAAAAGATCTGAAATAAGATTATGATAATTGAGTTTGGAAAAATCTCTATAAGTACGAAGAACAGGTTCCCGCTTACCCTTCTTCAACCTCAAATCACAGGCCACCATGTGATGATCTGATATCCCATCCATAGGGCGCACCTGAACCCCTGCAACTATATCGCGAGAGGACAAAACTAGTATGTCTAATAATGTACTGGAAGAGTCTGTAGCTCGAGTGGGCTCCATTATCAACTGAGATAATCCATATTTAGACAGCAAATTATTTAGCAATTTGAAGCTGTCGCCGTTAGAATTCAGAAAATCAATGTTGAAATCAGCCCCAAACAACAAGCAGTCATACTCAGGAATGAGCTCTATCAATGAGCTTTCCAACTCTTCCAAACACCAACCAACATTTTCCTTAGGAGGTCTATAGAGAGTAACCAAAACAGATATTTTTTCTAGAGATTTTAAATTCTATCCAAAGTTGTTCTAATTTACCATGTCCAAATCGATTGATTATTTTATACTTTATATTATTACGAATGTAGAAAGCAACTCCCCCTCCTCTACCCAGCCTGTCATTTCTGACCAGATCATATCCTGGAATAGCAACACCATAACTAGGAAATCCATCGGAAAGCCAAGTTTCAGATAAACCCACAACATCCAAAGAATAACCAGTAACAACATCCGCGAAAAGGTCGAAGCCTGTGCAAACAGACCTCACATTAAAGTGCGATACATTTAAATTTGCCATAACACTTTTTCTGCCTACTCCCTATTCAAAATAACTAGTTTTCAATAGGTTCTTGGAAATCAACCTACACCAGCTGAATTAGTTGAAAATACAGTCTCCCACATTTCAAAGTTTTCCTGGAGAACTAGTGAAGGGAACATTTTGAAACTTTTTGCATGTAAAGAGGAAGGTGAAAAGCTCATTTTCCCAAAATTTCAAAAGTTTCTACTGGAAAATAACAACATGAGGAATATTGGAAATCAACCAACAATAACTGAATTAATTGAAAATACAGTCTCACACATTTCAAAGTTTTCCTGGAAAACTAGTGAAGGGAACATTTCGAAACTTTTTGCATGTAAAGAGGAAGGCGAGAAGCTCATTTTCCCAGAATTTCAAATTTTTCTAGTGGAAAATAACAACATGAGGAATATTGGAAATCATCCTAAAATAACTGAATTAATTGCAAATACAGTCTCACATATTTCAGAGTTTTCTTGGAAAACTAGTGAAGGGAAAATTTTGAAACTTCTTGTATGTAAAGAGGAAGGTAAGATCCTCATTTTTCCAAAATTTGAAATTTTTCCAGTAGAAAACAGCAACATGAAAAATCTTAAAAGTTAACTTACAAAAACTGAATTAGTTGAAAATACAGTCTCACATATTTTAAAGTTTTCCTAGAAAACTAGAAAAGGGAAAATTTTGAAACTTTTTGCATGTTAAGAGGAAGGTGAGAAGCTCATTTTCCCAAAATTTGAAAATTTTCCAGTGGAAAACAGCAACATGAAAAATCTTGGAAATCAACCTACAGAAACTGAATTAGTTGAAAATACAGTCTCCCACATTTCAAAGTTTTCCTGGAGAACTAGTGAAGGGAACATTTTGAAACTTTTTGCATGTAAAGAGGAAGGTGAGAAGCTCATTTTCCCAAAATTTCAAAAGTTTCTACTGGAAAATAACAACATAAGGAATATTGGAAATCATCCTAAAATAACTGAATTAATTGCAAATACAGTCTCACATATTTCAGAGTTTTCTTGGAAAACTAGTGAAGGGAAAATTTTGAAACTTCTTGTATGTAAAGAGGAAGGTAAGATGCTCATTTTTCCAAAATTTTCCAGTGGAAAACAGCAACATGAAAGATCTTGGAAATCAACCTACACAAACTGAATTAGTTGAAAATACAGTCTCCCACATTTCAAAGTTTTCCTGGAGAACTAGTGAAGGGAACATTTTGAAACTTTTTGCATGTAAAGAGGAAGGTGAGAAGCTCATTTTCCCAAAATTTCAAAAGTTTCTACTGGAAAATAACAACATGAGGAATATTGGAAATCAACCAACAATAACTGAATTAATTGAAAATACAGTCTCACACATTTCAAAGTTTTCCTGGAAAACTAGTGAAGGGAACATTTCGAAACTTTTTGCATGTAAAGAGGAAGGCGAGAAGCTCATTTTCCCAGAATTTAAAATTTTTCTAGTGGAAAATAACAATATGAGGAATATTGGAAATCATCCTAAAATAACTGAATTAATTGCAAATACAGTCTCACATATTTCAGAGTTTTCTTGGAAAACTAGTGAAGGGAAAATTTTGAAACTTCTTGTATGTAAAGAGGAAGGTAAGATGCTCATTTTTCCAAAATTTTCCAGTGGAAAACAGCAACATGAAAGATCTTGGAAATCAACCTACACAAACTGAATTAGTTGAAAATACAGTCTCCCACATTTCAAAGTTTTCCTGGAGAACTAGTGAAGGGAACATTTTGAAACTTTTTGCATGTAAAGAGGAAGGTGAGAAGCTCATTTTCCCAAAATTTCAAAAGTTTCTACTGGAAAATAACAACATGAGGAATATTGGAAATCAACCAACAATAACTGAATTAATTGAAAATACAGTCTCACACATTTCAAAGTTTTCCTGGAAAATTAGTGAAGGGAACATTTCGAAACTTTTTGCATGTAAAGAGGAAGGCGAGAAGCTCATTTTCCCAAAATTTTCCAGTGGAAAACAGCAACATGAAAGATCTTGGAAATCAACCTACACAAACTGAATTAGTTGAAAATACAGTCTCCCACATTTCAAAGTTTTCCTGGAGAACTAGTGAAGGGAACATTTTGAAACTTTTTGCATGTAAAGAGGAAGGTGAGAAGCTCATTTTCCCAAAATTTGAAAATTTTCCAGTGGAAAACAGCAACATGAAAAATCTTGGAAATCAACCTACAGAAACTGAATTAGTTGAAAATACAGTCTCCCACATTTCAAAGTTTTCCTGGAGAACTAGTGAAGGGAACATTTTGAAACTTTTTGCATGTAAAGAGGAAGGTGAGAAGCTCATTTTCCCAAAATTTCAAAAGTTTCTACTGGAAAATAACAACATGAGGAATATTGGAAATCAACCAACAATAACTGAATTAATTGAAAATACAGTCTCACACATTTCAAAGTTTTCCTGGAAAATTAGTGAAGGGAACATTTCGAAACTTTTTGCATGTAAAGAGGAAGGCGAGAAGCTCATTTTCCCAAAATTTTCCAGTGGAAAACAGCAACATGAAAGATCTTGGAAATCAACCTACACAAACTGAATTAGTTGAAAATACAGTCTCCCACATTTCAAAGTTTTCCTGGAGAACTAGTGAAGGGAACATTTTGAAACTTTTTGCATGTAAAGAGGAAGGTGAGAAGCTCATTTTCCCAAAATTTCAAAAGTTTCTACTGGAAAATAACAACATGAGGAATATTGGAAATCAACCAACAATAACTGAATTAATTGAAAATACAGTCTCACACATTTCAAAGTTTTCCTGGAAAACTAGTGAAGGGAACATTTCGAAACTTTTTGCATGTAAAGAGGAAGGCGAGAAGCTCATTTTCCCAGAATTTCAAATTTTTCTAGTGGAAAATAACAATATGAGGAATATTGGAAATCATCCTAAAATAACTGAATTAATTGCAAATACAGTCTCACATATTTCAGAGTTTTCTTGGAAAACTAGTGAAGGGAAAATTTTGAAACTTCTTGTATGTAAAGAGGAAGGTAAGATGCTCATTTTTCCAAAATTTCAAATTTTTCCAGTAGAAAACAGCAACATGAAAAATCTTAAAAGTTAACTTACAAAAACTGAATTAGTTGAAAATACAGTCTCACATATTTTAAAGTTTTCCTAGAAAACTAGAAAAGGGAAAATTTTGAAAGTTTTTGCATGTTAAGAGGAAGGTGAGAAGCTCATTTTCCCAAAATTTGAAAATTTTCCAGTGGAAAACAGCAACATGAAAAATCTTGGAAATCAACCTACAGAAACTGAATTAGTTGAAAATACAGTCTCCCACATTTCAAAGTTTTCCTGGAGAACTAGTGAAGGGAACATTTTGAAACTTTTTGCATGTAAAGAGGAAGGTGAGAAGCTCATTTTCCCAAAATTTCAAAAGTTTCTACTGGAAAATAACAACATAAGGAATATTGGAAATCATCCTAAAATAACTGAATTAATTGCAAATACAGTCTCACATATTTCAGAGTTTTCTTGGAAAACTAGTGAAGGGAAAATTTTGAAACTTCTTGTATGTAAAGAGGAAGGTAAGATGCTCATTTTTCCAAAATTTTCCAGTGGAAAACAGCAACATGAAAGATCTTGGAAATCAACCTACAGAAACTGAATTAGTTGAAAATACAGTCTCCCACATTTCAAAGTTTTCCTGGAGAACTAGTGAAGGGAACATTTTGAAACTTTTTGCATGTAAAGAGGAAGGTGAGAAGCTCATTTTCCCAAAATTTCAAAAGTTTCTACTGGAAAATAACAACATGAGGAATATTGGAAATCAACCAACAATAACTGAATTAATTGAAAATACAGTCTCCCACATTTCAAAGTTTTCCTGGAGAACTAGTGAAGGGAACATTTTGAAACTTTTTGCATGTAAAGAGGAAGGTGAGAAGCTCATTTTCCCAAAATTTCAAAAGTTTCTACTGGAAAATAACAACATGAGGAATATTGGAAATCAACCAAAAATAACTGAATTAATTGAAAATACAGTCTCACACATTTCAAAGTTTTCCTGGAAAACTAGTGAAGGGAACATTTCGAAACTTTTTGCATGTAAAGAGGAAGGCGAGAAGCTCATTTTCCCAGAATTTCAAATTTTTCTAGTGGAAAATAACAACATGAGGAATATTGGAAATCATCCTAAAATAACTGAATTAATTGCAAATACAGTCTCACATATTTCAGAGTTTTCTTGGAAAACTAGTGAAGGGAAAATTTTGAAACTTCTTGTATGTAAAGAGGAAGGTAAGATGCTCATTTTTCCAAAATTTCAAATTTTTCCAGTAGAAAACAGCAACATGAAAAATCTTAAAAGTTAACTTACAAAAACTGAATTAGTTGAAAATACAGTCTCACATATTTTAAAGTTTTCCTAGAAAACTAGAAAAGGAAAAATTTTGAAACTTTTTGCATGTTAAGAGGAAGGTGAGAAGCTCATTTTCCCAAAATTTGAAAATTTTCCAGTGGAAAACAGCAACATGAAAAATCTTGGAAATCAACCTACAGAAACTGAATTAGTTGAAAATACAGTCTCCCACATTTCAAAGTTTTCCTGGAGAACTAGTGAAGGGAACATTTTGAAACTTTTTGCATGTAAAGAGGAAGGTGAGAAGCTCATTTTCCCAAAATTTCAAAAGTTTCTACTGGAAAATAACAACATGAGGAATATTGGAAATCAACCAACAATAACTGAATTAATTGAAAATACAGTCTCACACATTTCAAAGTTTTCCTGGAAAACTAGTGAAGGGAACATTTCGAAACTTTTTGCATGTAAAGAGGAAGGCGAGAAGCTCATTTTCCCAGAATTTCAAATTTTTCTAGTGGAAAATAACAACATGAGGAATATTGGAAATCATCCTAAAATAACTGAATTAATTGCAAATACAGTCTCACATATTTCAGAGTTTTCTTGGAAAACTAGTGAAGGGAAAATTTTGAAACTTCTTGTATGTAAAGAGGAAGGTAAGATGCTCATTTTTCCAAAATTTCAAATTTTTCCAGTAGAAAACAGCAACATGAAAAATCTTAAAAGTTAACTTACAAAAACTGAATTAGTTGAAAATACAGTCTCACATATTTTAAAGTTTTCCTAGAAAACTAGAAAAGGAAAAATTTTGAAACTTTTTGCATGTTAAGAGGAAGGTGAGAAGCTCATTTTCCCAAAATTTGAAAATTTTCCAGTGGAAAACAGCAACATGAAAAATCTTGGAAATCAACCTACAGAAACTGAATTAGTTGAAAATACAGTCTCCCACATTTCAAAGTTTTCCTGGAGAACTAGTGAAGGGAACATTTTGAAACTTTTTGCATGTAAAGAGGAAGGTGAGAAGCTCATTTTCCCAAAATTTCAAAAGTTTCTACTGGAAAATAACAACATGAGGAATATTGGAAATCAACCAACAATAACTGAATTAATTGAAAATACAGTCTCACACATAACAAAGTTTTCCTGGAAAACTAGTGAAGGGAACATTTCGAAACTTTTTGCATGTAAAGAGGAAGGCGAGAAGCTCATTTTCCCAAAATTTTCCAGTGGAAAACAGCAACATGAAAGATCTTGGAAATCAACCTACACAAACTGAATTAGTTGAAAATACAGTCTCCCACATTTCAAAGTTTTCCTGGAGAACTAGTGAAGGGAACATTTTGAAACTTTTTGCATGTAAAGAGGAAGGCGAGAAGCTCATTTTCTCAAAATTTCAAAAGTTTCTACTGGAAAATAACAACATGAGGAATATTGGAAATCATCCTAAAATAACTGAATTAATTGAAAATACAGTCTCACATATTTCAGAGTTTTCTTGGAAAACTAGTGAAGGGAAAATTTTGAAACTTCTTGTATGTAAAGAGGAAGGTAAGATGCTCATTTTTCCAAAATTTCAAATTTTTCCAGTAGAAAACAGCAACATGAAAAATTTTAAAAGTTAACTTACAAAAAACTGAATTAGTTGAAAATACAGTCTCACATATTTTAAAGTTTTCCTAGAAAACTAGAAAAGGGAAAATTTTGAAACTTTTTGCATGTTAAGAGGAAGGTGAGAAGCTCATTTTCCCAAAATTTGAAAATTTTCCAGTGGAAAACAGCAACATGAAAAATCTTGGAAATCAACCTACAGAAACTGAATTAGTTGAAAATACAGTCTCCCACATTTCAAAGTTTTTCTGGAAAACTAGTGAAGGAAAAATTTTGACACTTTTTGCATGTAAAGAGGAAGGTGAGAAGTTCTTTTTTCCAAAATTTCAAATTGTTCCAGTACAAAATTACAACATGAGAAATCTTGGAAATCAATCTACAATAACTGAATTAATTGAAAATAAAGTCTCACACATTTCAAAGTTTTTCAGGAAAACTAGTGAAGGAAAAAATTTGTAACTTTTTGTATGTGGAGAGGAAGGTTAGAGGCTCATTTTTCCAAAATTTCAAATTTTTCCAATGGAAAATAACGACATGAACAATCTTGGAAATCAACTTTCAAAAACGGAATTAATCGAAAATACAGTCTGACACATTTCAAAGTTTTCCTGGAAATCTAGTAAAGGGAAAAATTTGAAACTTTTTGCATGTGGAGAGGAAGGTTAGAGGCTCATTTTTCCAAAATTTCAAATTTTTCCAATGGAAAATAACGACATGAACAATCTTGGAAATCAACTTTCAAAAACGGAATTAATCGAAAATACAGTCTGACACATTTCAAAGTTTTCCTGGAAATTTAGTAAAGGGAAAAATTTGAAACTTTTTGCATGTGGAGAGGAAGGTTAGAGGCTCATTTTCCCAGAATTTCAAATTTCAAAAAAATTTGGAATTCAAGTGTCTAGCGCCTGGAATAGACAAAATTTGAGGCTACAAAAATTGAAAATAAAGGAAAAGTATATCAGAAGAAAAATCTAATAACAGAAAAGTAACAATTTAGATCCTCATCATGTAAAACCTGAAATTCAACAATCTCTGAGTCTTGCACTATTAAGTTCTAAGGACTACACATTCTGATGAGATAATGTAGAAATATGCTCATAATTGATTAAAATTTCTGAGCCTCTAGACTAGTCTAGAGTAACAACTTCTATACATATATACATTATCTATATTAATTTAATAATTTTCTGTTTAAGATCGAACTGGAAAAGGCGCTAATCAACGGCGAATTCAAATCCAAGCAACTAGAACTGGAAAAACTGGAAACCAAAAAGCAAAAAATGCTAAAACGAGCTCAACGCATTGAGGACAGTATGCGCGACTGTCAAATGAAACAAGACGAAGACCAGCAAGAGTGCAAACAAAAACTCGAATCGGCCCAACAAAACATGAATTCGGTCGAAGAAAAATTAAAATCAACCGAAAAAACTAGTCCCGACTATGAGCGAGTTTTTGAAGACTATCTTCAAGCCCAAGAACAGCTGGACAACGAACGGAAAAACTTCGAAGACTTGGAGTTTCACCATTTAGAAGAAGAAGCCGATTGGCTAGCTAGTAGAGAAGAACTACAAAGAGAAATCTTAGATTTATCAAATAGAATTGAAAATCTAAAAGTCAACATTCAAGAGTTGGACAATCAAAGGCAAAAAACTTCTAAAACAAATTCAAATGAGTATAAAACTATTGAGAGGCAAAAGTTGGAATGTATGGTGCGTTTAGAAGAGATAAGGAATCGTTTAAAATCAATTGACAATGAGTTGTTGATTAATTTCCAACAAGAATCCGACCAGGAAGGGTCCAGTGATGAATCATTTAATAATAAAATTACCGATCTAAGTTGTTCAATGATTGTGAGTGAGCATAAAATAAAAGACACTGCATGTAATAATATGTCTCAAAGTTTCAACGAAAAAATGCTTCAAGAAAAGTGCGTCTTAGAAATGGCTAAAAAGTTTCCCAGTCAAGACGACATTGATAGATTTAGTAAAGTGACTTTGGATGCTCCAATAATAGAAGGGAGAGAATCTTTAGGCAGAAAAACTATAGAGTCTTTACAGGAAATCGAGCGAAATAGGCATTTGCATTTGTGTCAACAAGGTAAAATATTTTCATTTGGGTAAATATTGGTTTATAATTTCTAATTTAGGTTCTCAAGTAATAGAAAACGAAAGGCAGAGGGTGCTAGCGTTAAAACAACGAGTGCAAGAGGAAGTCAAAACTCAATGGGCGCAACAAAGACAAGATGAATGTGCCAGAAACAGGTAATTTTTGCTTATCTAAATGATTAATGAGTCAATATTTGTTTGGAATTTTATCATTTATGATAAAATATTTGAGAGAGCGTATGTAGTAGTAGTTATTATGAGTGTATTTTGTGTGTGTTTGAGGCCTAAAAGGTAGTGATTAAAATCTAAAAATGTAGGATTTAAAACCAAAAAAAAAAAATACACTAACAGGTGGAGCCCATACTAAAAATAGTCTCTGAGCTATAAATCTTGCACGTTTTGAGGGAATTCAACAGATGGTGATTTCGGAAATCAATGCTACTTTTCTAAATTTATAAATATTTTTTCAAAAATTGTTTTTTTTTTCAGTGGCCCAGACATTGTCCAAACTAAACCAGTAATGGAACCTGACATTGAACAACAGGTGAGAAGTTTATTTAAAAGTTTAGGTTAATGAAACTGAATGTTTTGTTGGGTAAATTATCTTTGGTAATTAATTAAACTTGGGAAAATCCAATGGCGATTGTTTAAAAGTTCGTTTGCCAAAAGACGCACACGCGAATTTTGTATTGTTAATATTTCATTCACTTTTATTAGTCAGCTCAAAGGAATTTTCTTGATATTCTGAAAATATTTTCAAACTTGTGATTGACCAAATTTTCAAAATAAGTTTAATGTTGTTTGGCAGTAAAAACTTAAAAGATGTTCATTACTGGGTACTAAATCCTACTTGAATGTAAAAATAGTTGCAAGTGAATCGGATTTTATGTCAATTTTTAGAGCTGCGTCACAAATTCTTTGTTATTTTGCCACAAACCAAATCCTAGTCTTTATTGCTGAAAAACATCAATTAATATTGATGGTCCATCTGTCACAGCAAGCAAGGAAAATTGCGCGTAATTTTTTATTCGGAGAATTTCACTGTTAAAAACCACCTAAGAATTCTTTGCCAAAACTTTTAGGAATTTAGAGAAATTTTTGGGGAATTCGAAGGAATTTATGGGAAATTTATTGGTTTTTACACTAGCGTAATAAAAATAGCAAAATACATTTTTTATCATGAAGAATTTTGAGAATTTCAAGGGAATTTGAAACAGGCATTTGCAAGGAATTTGCGAGTAGTTTGGAGGAATTTTTGGGGACTTTGGAAGAATTTGCGGAAAGTTTAAGAAATTGTTTGCACAAATTGGGGGGTAATTTATTCCATAGACCTTGTTCAAAATCAAAGTTAAAATACCTCGAAAAAAACTTGAAAGCTTGAACAGCTAAAAACCATTCAAGCTGCATTGAAATTATCCACTAAGGATTTGTAGAGGATTCCATTGACTTTATTTCAAGCCTAATTACGTTACGATTGGATTGAAATTAATGAGGATGTGAGGTAAAATGGGGTTCATTGTTATTTTGGAAAAAAAATCAAGCTTCAACATTGAAAGATGTTTTAATTTCTTTTTTTGAGGAAAGCGTTTGAAGAATTGGCTTGAAATTTTGCAAGTGGATGAAGAAAGGATTGAAATTTAAGAAAAAAAAAACGAAAAATTTGCTTTTATATACTCATTTACCTTGAAGAAAATCAAAGTCGAAAGCCTTTAAAGCTTTACAGCTGTAAAACTATTGAAGCTACATTGAAATAACTCGATAGAAATGTGTAAAGGATTCAATTAGTTTCATCTCAAACCTAATTACCTTAAGATCGGATTGAAATTAACAAAGATGTGAGGTATAATGTCATTTGGAAAAAAGTCAAGCTTCAAAAAATGACATTATTATTATTTATTGAGCGATGAGACACCGATAAATTTATCGCTTGTGATTGTTCGACAGTCTCTAAAAATTTTGATAACACTTTTTCATTTCGTTACAGGTAATGTTCTAGTGTGTTGAGGAGACTTGTTGAATTTTTATCTAGTTTGTTTTTGAAGCTGTTTTTGGTAGATGCACTTATAGTTTCCGCACTCAGTAAGTTCCATATGTATACCACTCTATTACTTAAAAAAGTTTTTCCTTCCGAGAAGAGCAGATTTTTCCTTTTTTCCTTTCTCAGCTTTTGTTGATGTCCCCTAAGGTTTTTTTGATTGTTAAGAAACATTTCTTCCATTCTGAGCACTAGAGAGTAGAAAACATTTAGAATTTTATAGGTTTCAAACAGGTCCCCTCTTTCTCTTCTTTTCTTTGGTGTTGTAAGGTTGAATATCTCTGTAGTCTCAATTCGTATGGTACGTTGCGAAGTTCTGATGGAATTTTGGTTATTCTGCGTTGAACGAGTTCCAGAAGTTCAATGTCCTTAATATAGTAGGGGCACCAAACATTGTAGCCATATTCCAGTTTTGGTCTGATGTAAGTTATGTACAGTTTTTTAATCATGTTAATAGACTTGTTTTCGAATGCTTGTCTCGTTATTAGGTAAATGAGCTGATTGACTTTTTTTTAACAGTTTTGGATGTGTATGTTTCCCATTTGAGATCATTTGTGATGTAAATACCAAGGTCTTTGTATTCTGATACTTTCCTTAGCTCAGCATTGTTTTTTTGATACTGTAGTGGTTTTTTGGGTTATTTCGACCAATATGTAGAACTGCAGTTCGGTTTCAGATACGATAGTTTTCGGACCTGTGCTCTTACCGACCTTGGTTTTTAGTGCGTTTGCAGCATTCCTTAAATATTTGGTATTTATTGAAGGATATTTTCTGTGAGTTGTATCTTTTCCTATTACTATATTTTATTTGATAATTTAATTGCTCTCCGTTCATGTCTTAATCATGGCGGGGGGCAATAATCATAAAGAGGGTAAACCACCCCCTGATAAAAATAATATTAAAGTAGTCGATCTCACATACAATGATATGATGATAAATGAAGATGAGTCCATAGAAAATAATATTAATTCTCAAACTCAACATGATAAACAGATTTCAGATAGATTAAATAGAATTGATTTGAAAAATAGATATAAAACAAATAGTAACGGTCCATTTTCAGTTTTTGTGGAGCATAAATATTTAAATTTTGGTAGATTGCATCCTCTCAAAATTGGTGAAAAATTATTCAATCTGAATGGCGATGAAAATAATATTGATTTCTTGCACACAGTTGGTCGAAATAGGGTCCAGATTATGTGTAAATCCGCTATAGGTGCCAACAAAATAGTTGAAAATCAGGTATTTGAAAGTAACAATCTTATTGCATATATTCCCTCTCATCTTACTCAAAAAAAAGGCCTTATCCGTAATGTTGATACATCTTTCTCAGAGGAAGAAATTTTGAAAATTTTGAAGTCGTCAGTTCCAATTAAGGCAGTGCAGAGGAGATTTAAATTTGTTCTCGATAAGGATGGCAATAAAGTAAAAGTTCCTAGACAACAGATTATTGTAACTTTCGATAATTTAGTCCTGCCACAATTTGTTTATATGTACCGATTGAGATACGAAGTTGATACTTGGTACTCCCCGGTCACTCAATGTTATAATTGTTTAAATTTTGGTCACACTGCTTCCCAGTGTAAAAGCAAAAAACGATGCAAAACCTGTTCTAAAATATTAAATGACGAGGGACTGTGTACTGATTGTGAAATTTTTTGTGTTCATTGTAAAGATAATTCTCATATTTCTACTAGTAAAAAATGTCCTAAATATAACAATCAGGTTAAAATTAAGCAGGCGATGGCAAATCTTAATGTATCCTTTAAAGAAGCCGAAAAAATTGTAGATAACCCTTCTTATGCAAGCCTTGTTTCGAAAAATAAATTTGCTCCATTGTCTTCAAAAACCGATTTTCCTGAATTACCACCGAACTATAGAAATCAATCTAATCCCCCAAATTCAAAAACGACATTTGTAGCCCATCCACATTCCAGCAAGTCTATTCCCTCTTCCAGTGTATATGAAAATTATAAAAAACGGAAAGTCAGTGATAGAAGTCCTTCTTTTGAACCCGTTAGCAGAGAATTTGATTGTTCCTATACAGGTGCACCTTGGATTGAGTCTCATCAGATAAACACTAAAAATACTTTTGAAGGTCTAAAGGATAAAATAATTGAAGATTTAACTTGTCAAATAAATAATTCAATCAGGGGTGAGAAATCTCCTGATGTATCAAATATAATAGAAAATATAGGCTATATAATCAATAATACCCTCAAAAATATCTTTCAACAATGGCAGCCTTCACACAACAACTAACTGTAATTCACTGGAATGCTAGATCTGCGTATTCAAACCATAATTTGTTAAAAAACTTATTACAAGATACTAATTTTGATATTGCCCTTTTAAGTGAAACTTGGTATAAACCAGAGTACAAAATTAGTCTTAAAGGTTTTAATATTATAAGAAAAGATAGAATTAATGGTAAAGGCGGTGTGGCTATACTAATTAAAAAATCAATTTCCTTTTCTAATATCAAATTCCCAAAGTTCGATAATATCAATATTGAACTATGTGGTATAGACATATCTATCCATAATACGTTAATATCTGTTGTGTCTATTTATAGACCACCAAATGTGGCAATAAGTGTTTCGGACTACTGTAAAATTTTTTCTTCTGTAAAGTCCTTTTCTATAATTGGGGGTGATTTCAACGCCCACAATACTTTATGGGGTTGTAATATTAATGATGCACCGGGGAACACAATAATAAATGCATTAGACAATTTTCCCAATTTATTAATAAGGAATGAAGGGAAGCATACCAGAATAGGAGCCACAAGTAGTTCCGCTTTAGACATAACTATTATTTCCTCAAACATCAGTAATATCTCGTCTTGGGAAGTTTTACAAGATTCCTATGGCTCAGATCATTTTCCTGTTAAATTGACATTGAATAATAAAAGTAATCTTGCGCAGTCACATAATTTAGTTGGGTGGAAACTCAAAAATGCCAACTGGGTTTCCTTTGGTCAATGCATAGAGGACAAAATTAGTAACCTTAGGGAAGTACCGGACAAGGCAAATGAAATTATTTCAATATTAATCAATGTTATTGGTGAAACTGCCGACCAACTTTTTCCTAAAAGAGTTTTTCAAAATAAAAAACCCTTTGTACCATGGTGGGACGAGGAATGCCAAATTTTATCCAACAGTCGGAAAGAAATGTTTAAAAAATTTCGTAATAATTCCAATCTCCAAAACTACATTCAGTGTAATAATTTAACAGCTAAGTGTAAGCTTACCTATAAAAGAAAATCCAAACAAAGTTGGGCTAATTTTTGTAGTAGTTTGAACGCCCAGAGCCCTCCTTCCAAAATTTGGAATAGAGTTAATTTGATAAAGGGTGGTTTAAATACACATATAAGCAACACAATTTCCCAGGAATCAGCCAATATTTTGTTGAATAAAATAGCACCTGATTTTGTGTCACGCGATATTCCACCAATGAATGCGTCAAGCGATCATTTTTTATCACGACCTATTTCTATATCAGAATTCATCAATAACGTCAGAAAACATAAAGACACT